TGGTCTCGCGTCATATCACTAGTTAAACCATACCCGACCGAATTTAGCATAATAATCTCTCTTATGTTTTACTTTTTCCCCTTACTACATTTACGTGGTAAAGTATTATGCGGCATATCTAGGCGATGTTTCGACAGAAAAACGTATGTAAACGAAGAAATCGATAAAACTTGTTTCTTGATGTAGTAAATTACTTCAATTAACACGTGTTCCGGTGGAGGTATCACAGGGAATTAATTGATGTCTTCCACAGGCTCTCACCGCGACCGGGAGGTTTTAGGGTTCGAGTCCCGAAACTAGGTCAACCCAGCTGCTGTCTGTAGGAGAATTCTAGTGAGCCACTGCTCTGATCCGAAGTTTTCCGTGTTTCTCCGATCACTACCAGGCGAATACCTGAGCAGTCTCCTTGTAAATGGACCACAGACCGCGCGCCACCAATCCTTCCTAGTCTTATCTTATACTCACCCCTATCTTAAACACACACGTACATGGACTGCATAGACCTTGTCCCGAACTGGGGGTGCCCGTGAGAGATTCCTGGTGTTGGTGGGAGATACCTGAATGGGAAACGCCCCAAAGCGCTGTGAAGGTTGGCGCTGGTGATTTCCATCCAGCAGTAGAAGAATACAGCTATCCCCTAGAAAAAATTCATGCACAACACTTACTGAACTAATGACCATAGCAGTTGACGCGCCCGGTAACACAAAGTAATCAACCAACACGTTTTGTAGTCAGAAACACCCTTTTATCGGGCGTTCATACCGAAAACACAATTGGCAGCAAAATGTCTGTATGCTTGTCTCTCCGTCCGTGTGACTATGGTGACCGCTATCAGTGTGTCTGTGGTGAACGCTAACACCTTAAACGTTCAGACGATTGTGTCCAAAATTGATATTCCCCAATCGACATTAATGAGCTCAAAACTATGCGAGTTTGAAAGGAGTGTTTTGATTTCTAGTGTTACTTTACATAATGCCTCAGAAATATTTTCAAAAGTTTTTCAATAATGTCTCCAATTTTTTTAATTAAATTTTGCCCCGCATAGCGAAAAGTGCGATTTATAAGGGCGCAGTACTCCTTCCGATTAAATCTATGAATTTTCTAAAACTGCAAATGTTTAACTGTAGATTTTCTTTAATTAAATCTATGGTTTAAAAAGAGTTTGAGATATGGTAAAATATTATTGTTCGAAAATACAAATATGTTTCTCGTAAATTTGCGTGGAATATAGGCAATTTTTTAACAATTATTTTCTCAAAAACACCTCCAACGCTTCCAAAATGTCAATGACGGTTAAAATCCGGTTCTGGTCCCATTTTTGGCAAACTCCCTATATTTTGGGAAATTGTAAACAGCTAACATCGCAAATCCGCAATATTGATTATAATTTTTTCCTAAATAAAATCTGTTTTAAGACGTAGATTTTTATACAAGATCATATACAATGTTTTGGAAAATTGTATTTTAGTAAATTGTTTAGTATTTTGTCGTACTGTCTGCTTAAATTTAATGAAATTTATTTTTTTTATTTCTCATAAACGACATTAAATATTTTCTTTAAAGTTTTCTCCAGATAGAGCAAAGAGGGCAGAAAAATGGCGCAGTTCTCATGTTCGTTGTACTCTCTGAATTTTTGAATGTGCAAATGTTAGATATATTGCGAGAAACCGCTAGCTTTTTCAGCGTCGGGAAAGTTGTGTTGAAAATGCGACTTGACGTTTAGTGATGTGCCTTGCGTATTGTCTTGAAGGACCACCGTTCGAATCCCGGGGGGGAGAAAAATGTTCTCTGGTTGGAAGTATAATGGTTCATAAAATATAATATTGCAAAGCCATGACAAATAATGTGAGAAAATATGTAGTTTTAGCATTCCTAGTGTTACTAGTTCTTTCGAAGCTGTGTTGTGATGAGAGCTCCTTGTACAGATTCACTGTACATCGTTCAACATAATTTTCTCTACAATAATAAGTGAATTCTTAACTTATAAAAATATTTTATGCTGTAATAAGTAGTGTATTATTTTGAAACAACGCTTATAACGTGCGGAGAGAGAGGCAAAAGATTTTCTGAAGACAAATGAGCAGAGGCCATGATAGGTGGCGCGAGTGTTAAGAGTGGTTGGCGGTAAACTGTGGTGAAGGGGAGGAGGGGAAACATTATGATAACAGGGTAAAAAACAGGGAGAAGAATCTGAGGGACAAATGATTTATCCATATCTTGATTACCCGCCAAAAGAAAATGAAGTTTTCTGGGTTATTTCGTCAACTCTACTGCTCCCGCTTAAGTCAGGTATACGGGATCAGTGTTACAATTCGAAATTAGTCGGAAATATTTTTCTTTCTTCCTCGACAATAGAGAAAGCTTTGTTTTGCAAAATATTGTTCGGTGGTTTTGATTACTATGCTTGAAGTGATCTTCTTTCATACGAACCTCTTGAAAGCTCGGTTTGCACCAAATACTAGCTCCTTGTATGCTTAGAGTTCTCAGTCCCCCGTTGCCGAAAACTAACTCTAAAGATAAGGTTACTGCAAAGTTAAAGATGCCCCTACATACATTTTATCTGGGATATGGTATTGAGAAGGGCACGAGAAATAAAAGTGATGAAGAAGAAGGAGAAGAAGAAGAAATGGAAAAGATGGAAAACAAACATTATAAAGAAGTATAATATAAAATGGAAAGAATATGAAACGCAAAATAAAGAAACAAAGAAGGAAGAAGCGGAGGAGAAAAGAAAAGAAAAAATTTAAAAGTACACAAAATAGGGTTGGATAGAAAGAAAGAGATGATAAGGAATAGAGAAGGTAAGGACGAATAAGAGGTGTAAATGTATTAACTAGAAACTGGGGCCGTGAATCTTTCATTTTTGCGCGCGAGGCGACGCGTGGCGATGCAAGTTAGGTGCGTAAAGTCCAGCGCAGCTGCCGGGGCCACAGCCGCTTGCGAAAGTATTCCTACGCGTCGTCGCTACTGAAGTTGCGCCGGAGAATACTTGGGCTGCGCCGAGCGAAGGCCGGAGTGCAGAGACTGTTTTCGGGGGACGTAGCAGGGGGAGGGGGACGGTCCCTCCGGGACGACCTTGCCAGGGTCCGCCCAGGAGCAACTTGCCTACCACGATGGGAGCCTGAAGGAACTCGTGTAGGGTCGTCGCCGTTAGGGCTTTCAAACGGTAATTTTTTAGTTCATGTATTAACCGGAGTTCTACTAGTTTCTAAGCGTCTTCGCGAAACAGCAATAGCTCCTGTGCTTACGTAGAAATTGATTATCTGAATATTCGATTGCTATCTTAACGCAAAGTCGATGTGTTTGCTAAAATATGTCAGAACTAGACCTAGATGGAGAGAAAGACTTTTGAAATTTTTCAAAAAGAGCAATAATTATTAACTTTCGAGCTGATAAAATAGAAGAATATACTAAGACATGCACGTCTTGTGGTGTTTCCATGTTTTTAAAAATTATGCTTGTTAATCTTTGTCATGATGTGTCTATGTTTTCAAAAAGCACGTTCTTAGTTTTTCTTTCTACAAAAGCGTTGGTGTATAGTGACGCAGAAGCACTAATATTCTACGCAATATCATGTTTTCAGTTTTTGAACATGAGAACTACTTTAATTAGTTATTCGGAACTTTTTTGTGGAGCAGCAAAATGTATGGTTTTAAACTTACATACGTTGTAAAGTTAACAATTCCAAGAGAAAGCCATTCATTCAGCAGCATTGAATGAAACCTGATGAAATGTTAGCGAATAAGTATATGCATTAACAAATGTAATAGAAAATTTTCAAATGATACAAACGCTCCTGCATCACAGAGAAAAAGGTTAGCATGATAATAGACACCTACTATCGAATGTAGCTGCATCTGTACGCCAACCAATCTCAAATACTCAATCCGAATAATTTAAATTACACTTTAGAAAACGCACAAAAACAAATGGCAAACATCGCTTCCCATTGCGAAACAACGTATGTGGCATTTTTGTGCCAAATATTCGCGCTTTTTGCACACAAGGAATGCTGCAGCGCATTTGGTGAGCGAGGGGGAAGGGGTGATGCGAGGGGAGTGGCACGCGGAGGGAGAGAGAGAGAAAGAGAGAGACAGAGACAGAGAGAGAGAAGGGGGAGAGAGAGAGGCAGAAAGAGAAAAGGATAGGATGCGCGAGGTAAAATAAAACCTGGAAATAGTACCTGCCAGTAACTGTGAACTATTTCTAAATATAATCTGAACCATAATAAATATAATAATCACATTAGATCATTTGAAACTCAGTTCAAAATATCGGTTTTAGCAGGCATACACTGGTATTTTAAACCATTTGTTAAAGTCTCCTATGCCTTCTTCTTATTTGGTTAATCGAGGTATGTCAAGATTCAAAGGATTTTATCGATATATTCAAGATAGTTTCCTGCCTATATCCATTTCTCGTTATTCCAATCATTTTCGGTATTACTACTGCTATATGTAAAGAAGCACACAAACAAACATAGTAATTTTTTAAGGTTCTGCCTAATTAAAGCCCAATTTTTGTAAAGTTAATTATTTGGTCATTTAGTCAAAGAATTCACTTGATCGGTTATGAATCAGATGTTAATAAATTTGTTTTCGTCCATCACGAATACTTTAATTCACTCACTTCACATTTATCTCAATATCTTAATTCCTCTACCTTTCTGATCTAGCTAGTTCTGGATATTTTAGAAAACACTTTCATTCCAGATATTCTTATTTGCCTCCATTACCTTATTTATTTCTCTCATTTACTTCCTTATTTCGTTTTTCTCGAGAATATAAGCGTGTCCTCTGTTATATTTCTTTACATAGCTAACTAAATAAATAAAATGTAAAGAAGTGTAAAGAGATGCAGGGCAACCGATGGAATGGTCTACGTGTTGCTAGTATCTGCCCCTAAAAAATCCTATCCATTCGCTTGACCACTTTCATAAAACTAAAAATGCGTTTGTGTGTTGTGTGGACAGGTCGAGAAGCAGACTGAGCAGCGGCGCGATGGCAGCGGAGGCTGTGTCGGCGGCGGCGGCGGGGGCGGGCGCGGGCGCGGGCGGGCGGTGGTGCCTGTGCGCGCTGCTGGCGTTGGCGGCGGCGGCGGCGGCGGCTGCAGCGGCGGCGGGAGGTCCGGGGGCCTTCTACCCCAGCGGGCGCTACGGCAAGCGCGTGGAGACGGAGGTGCCGCTCGCGCCGGCGGGTGAGCCACCGTTCACCCTCTTCAGCCTACAAACAGGAACATTTACAATAAATGTGACAAGCTTCTACGGCATGTCGAAGATAAACACTATTTGCCAATGGACGTGTGGTGGGGCAAACAGCCTGATTCAAGGTTTCATCTGAAAAAGAGAGAGAAGCAAAGTCATTGATTTCCAATATTACAGAAGGCTATCTGTGAACAACGAAAATATTACTGTTCAGGCTCTAATCTCACTTTTAATCCACACCGTTATCCACTTTTTCAATATCAGGTTCCGACAGTACGAGTTGATTTCCTGACGCCAAATCGTTACAATCCGTTGTCTCTTTACTCTTCTCTTTACTGACTCTTTATTACGTAAGATCGCAGAAGACAAGAAAGTGAAAATGGACAAGTATCGCTTCTAAATGTAGTAAATTACTTCCGCTTGTCCATTGTGTAGTCGGAATCCACGTTTTGTAGATCCTTGATAGCTAAAAGTAGGTATACGGTCTGTCCGTCCGCGATCCATCTACTCGTCTCTGAAAAACGCTAACTCAAAATACCACAGGAAGGATTTTCACCCAAATTGAAATTTTCCGATCGATGTGAGTAATGTCACCGTCCCTTGATTTTGAAATGTGTATTTTGATTATGGGGAGTTTTTCTCATGAAGCATCAAAGATATTTTCAAATGCACAAGTGAACAAAGTCTACTTTTGACAATTTTGGTTATATCTCGTATTTAAATCTGCATGAAGCTCTTTTTAGAGCTGGATGCGCCATTGTAAAACAGGCTTAAACTCCCAAGCAGAGTAAACGTTTCCCTGAAATTATATGTCCCGTAAAAACTGTACGCCAATTTTTCTAACAGGGTTGCTAATGTGACTTGATTCGCTTGTGCTCTGAATGCCTCAAATTATTTTCAAAAACAGCTCCATTTTTGTTTTTATTACTTCCTCGCATTTCGTAAAAAAAAGAAATATTGTAAATGTACGCCAGAAAAGGACGATTTTGTTTAGAAATAACACATTGCCGGGCCCTGGTTACAAAAACGAAGATAAATCTTTTTTTACATACAGTAAGTTATTTCCTCTACACTTTGCGCAGTCAGTATCCATGTTTTGTGGGACCTTCATACAGAACAATCGTATGACGGGCGAAACGTCTGTCTGTCCGACCGTCCACGCTCAAAGCTGACGCAAACCGTTCAGACGATTTTCTTCAAAACTAATATTCCCTAATCGATTCCATAAATCTCAAGGCCCTCTGAGTTTGAAATGGATAATTTGATTTTGGGGGTACAATTCATGAAGCCTCCAACATTTTCAAACGTTTGTCAAAAATAATAATTCAAATGTAATTTTGCGTAAAATATAGGCAATTTTTTAACAATTATTTCTCAAAAACTGCTCCATATTTTTCTTTAAATTTTCTCTTTGTGTGAATCAAAGGTATTGTAGTAGTGATGTATGTATAAAAGTATTGATACGAGACCCACTTCCGACAAACAATCTGTATTTTTGAAGATACAAAAAGATAACATTCCAAAACTACAAACTTGAAGATAAAGATTTTTGTTTTAAGCAAAAACTGTTTTAAAAAATCAGATCTTTAAAAAAATCAAGAACATCAAAAATCAATGAAAAAATCGTGGTAGTTTTATATAAATCTCTGTTTGAGATAATTAGTATATCAATCTTTTCTGCTTAATAACTCTTAAAGTCGAAACCGTAGCTTAGAAAATGTAAATACCTGACATTTTAAATCGACCTCATCATCAGGCGACTTTCAATGTGAATTAAAGTGGAACGTTTGTTTTAAAAATCAGAGTACGCAGGAGAAAAAATACATGATCCAAAAAGGTTTCCTGTGTCCACTTTCAAAACTCTCACTAAAATCTTTCGACCCAAGCAATTATGAGAGCGTAGGCATCCGCGGCCAGAGTCAGTATTTACTAGGCTGTCCGGGTGACGCCGCGTCCATGGCGAAGGTGCCGACGTTTCGGTCGCCATCCTGCGACCTTGTGCAGGGCGTAATGCGCCCAGAGGAAGGTCGCAGAATGGTGACCGAAACGTCGGCACCTTCGCCGTGGACGCGGCGTCACCCGGACAGCCTAGTAAATACTAGCAATTTTTTTTTCATATCGAAAAACATAAAATTCTATGTGTGACTTAAGTTAAATTAACTACTTATTTTTCAGAATCAAGTTCAACAATCATGTTCCATTTCAAAGTAATTCTATTAGCACAAAACTGAAACTGAAATGACTGAAATGGAGGTTCCACTCTTAGGAACAATACGCATTTGAACGTTAATAATTTAATAATTCTGAAGGTTAAAATATCACAATAAATCAGTTATTTGTACCTCAAAATATAAACTAAATAGAAAAGTTGTAAAATACAGTTAAAATCTTATTTTCGAATTTGTTAATTACGTCAATGAGAAGACTTCCTTTTTATATTTATGCAAAGTATTTATATTTCTAATATTTTCTATAATAGTTTTGTGCACGAATTGTTATTAATTGTTTGTTGATACAATGTTGGCACTGAAATTTGATGTAGAAGTTCTACGACGTTTATTTTATATTTGAACTTCAGAATTCGTCTTTCATAATAATGATTAGTGAAATGTATTTATAATTATACAATTAAATAACTCCATTCATTATCATTGCAATAAGTCCCATGTTATGTCATGGGACTTTTTGGGTAATGTCCACCACCCAAGATCATTAATGGTACATTTTGACACATGTCAGTTGTAGGTTTTCGCAAAAATTGCATGGTATGAAGCTTAGTTTCTACTTGAACTCTCTATTGAAAATTAAATCTCAAATACTAGATGTTATAAATATCTCTCTGAGTTTAGATCTGAGTACGTTCTTGGAGCTTCTGTTAACCATCAAAGATAGAATTGAGGAGACGCGCGATGTTTTACGAGTAGTTAAAATAAATAATTTAATCTTAAGATTAAATATTTTGTTTTAGTATTGTCGACTGAGTCAACAAAAGTTTGAACAATCCGAATATTTCATTCTTACATCTATTTTTTTAAATACGTAAACGCGATGTGTTGATTTGGAACTGAATTTATTCTCTTCACAAAGTGTCATTTTGCATATTGCTTTAATGGGAATTTAAAATGTAAATAATTTCTTTTTAAATAAGATAGTTCGTTTATGCTTAACTCGTAAGAGACAAAATTCCTTCTCTTACCATATGTAATTTAATACATTCTAAAAAGTGTGGACTTGATAGTACGACTGTAGGTATTTCTGTACTATATTATAACTATTCTTACATTTTAACTGTATTATTCTTTCGATTGTAACGATTTTTTCATTTTAAAGTCAATTTTACAATGCGTAACTTTTTTCGTATATCAATTCCGTATCTAACCACAAAAACGGAATGCAGCCCTGGGCTGCACTGACTTCCTTTTCAGTGAAAGGTTACGTCGCTCCAAGGGCGTCCTTGTTCCGTGATAACACGGAGAATAATCTCTGAATGGATCTCGCACTTCTTTGCAGAGAAACGTCCTAACAGTCATACGGAAAACACGATGGTTGCCCCGAATGCTCACCGATCGCGCTCCAGTGCATCGACTGCGAAACGCTGTAAGAAACGTTCCTTCCGAATGCGCAACCTTCGCTCGCAGTGGGGCCAATTGCGAACAAGCGAAGCGCGCCGCATCGTCGTCTGCCAACGCAAAGAAATGCAAACGGTGGCAGGAGATCGACATCGCTCTCCCTCGCATCCGTACACTCAATCAGGAAGCAAGAATACGTATCGTCCTTAGATGCTCAGTAGCCCTCAAAGACACGGGCTGCTTACGGGAAAATAATGATTTTCGTTTCCGTTTTTGTTTTATTTTTAACTTTGAAAAGTACTGCTTTCAACCCAATTCGAGACTCGTGTCCGCGTGTACAGGTAATTCACAATAGCTTTCGAATCTCTGAAGGGAGCTGAATCTGATAAGTCGTCGGATATGTCGTGTGGCATGTCCTGCAAAATAGAAATTAAAGTCTCACCAACGAAGAGCAATGACGAATCCAATTCATCAAGAAAAAAAACAATAGAAAGAGTAGACCGCAAGGGATAGGTGAAGGGCGTGGGGAGGAGGATCAACACATCTCACATATCTGACCACTTTAGAGAGCTAAGTCGAATTCAGCCCTGGTGTAGAATTCTAGCGGCTTGGTGCTCTGATCGGAGCAGTACCCTAACAAACGGGTCACAAAACGGGATCGATCAACGTCTTTGTCGTATCCTTTCCCCTTACACACACACTTGCATGAACGTCTCTACCACTCATGTCAGAAGACAAGTCCCCGCTGGGGCCTAGCCCCACTGGTTGAAGATACCTGAAAAAAGAAAGCCCCTCAAACCGACATGTAGACCGGGAGACGTGGCTCAGGGCATCAACTGATGGCACTGCACTGCCTCTGACTGGGAGGTTCTATGTTTGAGTCCCGACTGTGGCAAAATTTTCGACACCAGCTAGATAGTTGGATCGTGTTCCGTCGCTGTCTGGAGGAATCTAGCTGCCGGCTGCTCTGATCGGAAGATTTCCGTGGTTTCTCACATCTACGCCAACAGAATGTCGGAGCAGTATCCTAAAACAAGATCAAGGAGCGTGCACGATTTGTTCATCCTCTTTTTTTCCTATACCCCACTCTGTAATCTTGCCCACACATACTTACAAACATACTATACTACCAAACACGCCGGGAGACCGGCCGATAACTAAGAACTTCCCCCGGCCTCGCTGGTTCCCACCACCTGGTTGGGGAAAGCCCCGTTAGTCGACGGTATGTTGCCGCCGGATCTCAACAATTTTGCGCCGGATCTCAACAATTTTGTTTTAAAATGAGCTCCAACTTCAGCGTTTTCAGAAACGCTCAAACGCCCTTTTCTCAAAAATTGCTCCAATTTTTTTGTTCTTCAAACCTTTTCAACGGGTAATGCTAATTGAACTGTTTAAAATTACATAAAGTTCATTTTGCTGTATTC